TTATTCTTAAAGAAAAAGAGTTGCGACAGTTATCTAGTTTGTGGACAGTCTTTCATTCACATTGAAACAGCACGTTAAGGCAACACATTGATATATAGTCCCGCAACGACGGACCCTGTTTGGTGTTGGAAATGTATGTGTTTGCAGGGTCTCAGATTCCAGCCTATTATTCTTAAAGAAAAAGAGTTGCGACAGTTATCTAGTTTGTGGACAGTCTTTCATTCACATTGAAACAGCACGTTAAGGCAACACATTGATATATAGTCCCGCAACGACGGACCCTGTTTGGTGTTGGAAATGTATGTGTTTGCAGAGTCTCAGATTCCAGCCATTATTTTATTTATTTATTTGTTACATAATAGATTTGTTAGATAGATGATAGGGTGAACTTGTTTACTTTTCTATGCTATTGTTTAGACTGACCTGGAAAGGAAACCTGGCACAGAGGCAATGGGGAATTAGCCCAGGAAAAGAAGCTTCTATTGTGATACAGATTGTTTGCTTGTTTCAGGTGACTTCCTTCTAGGGGGTCAAGGAGAAGGTGTTTTCTCCACCATTGTGAATCTCTCTTGTAACCATGTTTTCTTAGCACTAAGACATAGAAAACGTAGCTCTTAAGATTTGTTACTTTTGTCACTTCCCTGAGTACCCTTTACCCTTAGAAACAAAGTATTCTAAAACACAAAGAAATCTCTCTTCTTCAGTGACGCAAGATCCATTGAAACTCTATTTAAGTATTTTTGACTATTTCCCCAACATTTGGTATTCGTTTCCCATAGCTTCGTCAGTCGCAATCTGTCAGGCACTGCACGTAAAATATATACAGTGAAACAGTCCATGAACTATTTTTCTTTTTGGCTACGATTTATAAATCCCTGTATTCAGGGGTCATTTCGTAGAAAAAGTGGTGCCGGAGCTCATTAGCATAACTCATTAGCACAACTTATTTGCATATGCCACACCCCCTGGCATCACCGGAAGTGTGTCAGAAGGCAACACCCACCGCTCAGGCTCCACTGGACTGTTTGGGATTGCTAGCTCTGGGGGGGGGGATGTGCAGATCTGCCCTCACAGAGGAGGGAGAGCTTGTACCTGAATAAACCTTGGTGGCTGCTTCTTGCTCCTCGTGGCCTGACTGAGGGCTGCTGGGAGCAGGGGGCGGGGCTTGTTGCATGTGCCAGCCCGCCCCTGGGCTCCTTACTGTCGGAGCTCCGCTCCTGTGTGCTCCCGCAGAAAATGACCCCTGCCTGTATTCCCATTGTTTGTTCCTTAAGCATTTTGTAAAAGCTGCTGACGGCCACCTGAGTCTGCAGGTGGCTGCCTGTCTAGCCTGGGAACTCCTGCCCTGGCCAGTCCGCCCCCCCCCATGTAGTCAGCTAGACAGGCCTGTGTGTAGGGGGGAGGGAGGGATACCTTTTCCATCTGGATGAGGAAGCAGTCGATGAAGTCCCGCGGGGAGTTGAGGTCTAAAGTTTCCCGGTTCTTCTCTGCTCTCTTGGCAATGAAGCGCCTCATGTCTTCCAGGATGTCGTAGATCTTGGTGTGGGGGCCGGGGAAGTACTTCAGGATGTTGGCATAGATGTCATAGAACTGCAGGAGTGGAGAGAAGGGGCAAGGAGGAGGTGAGGTGCAATTTTATATAACCTCAGAATTGGAAGGGACCACCAGGGTCATCTAGTCCAACCCTCCCTCTGCCAATGCGACTACAACTGTAATATCCCCAACAAATAGGGGTCCGGCAGAGTTGACACCTGAGCCATAGTCACAAGGGGATCATTTGGCATTCTGGCAAAAAAAAGAAAAGAGTTAACCCCCCCCCCCAATCTGTGAACCTCTCCAAGCCATTGGCTGGGCTCCTGTGGTATCATGGGATATTCACAAGCATTCCACCTTCGATGAGGTGAGTGTGCCATCTGCTTTGTAAGAGGAGACCCTTGGGAAGGAGCTAGGAGCCAGAGAATCCGTGTGCTGCTGTTGGCAAGCAAGGGGCGGAGGGACTCAGGGCAGGGGGCTGGAGAGACAGGCCAGACTATGAGTTTCACACAGAGATTTGAAATGGGCAGCAGGTCTCTGCCAAGCAGCACCTGGCCCCAGGCGGGCCAGCTCCGGTCTCAGCCAGGAGAGTCCTTCCACCAGTTGGCAGCTGTGTTGGGCTGGGAGGGGGGAGGCATTACCTGGGCCCAAGCGGTGCTCATCTCCCGGATCTTTCTCTATGCTTGTTTGAATGTTGTTTGGAGAAGATTCTTTTAAAGCAGTGTGGAGGTGCAATGACAATGGAGCCGCCAGGAGAGGACAATAAACATATGCAGATGGGCAAAAGTATGCTAGCACTCTTGAGGTGTGAAAACGACACCAAACGTAGACAGCTTTTTTGAAGACGGAGTCAAAAGGCTGGGACACTGGTAGGAAAGACAAATGCAGATTCCGCCGGAGTCTCAGAGGGGCTTATAAACTCCTTTCCCTTCCCCTCCCCACAACAAATACCCTGTGAGGTAGGTGGAGCTGAGAGAGCTCTGACAGAAACTGCTTTTTTTTCAAGGGCAGCTCTTATCAGAACCATGGCTTGCCCAAGGTCATCCAGCAGGTGCAAGTGGGGGGGGGAGTGGGGGAATCAAATCTGGTTCTCCCAGATTAGAGTCCGCGCACTTAACCACTACACCAAACTGGCTCTGGTCAGACTAGAAAGACGGATGAGTTTCGCACACAGATTTGAAATGGACAGCAGGTCTCTGCCAAGCAGCATTCAGCCCCAGGTGGGCCAGCTCCTCCAGTCTTAGCGATGGAGAGTCCTTCTACCAGTTGGCAGCTGTGTTGGGCTGGGGGGGGGAGGCTCTACCTGGGACCAAGCGGTGCTCATCTCCCGGAAGCTGTTGTTCATCATCTCCATCAAGGCCTGGAATTCCTTGTCCTGGTAGTTGAAGCGGTCACCAAAGACAATGGAGCAGATGACGTTGGAGACGGCGCGGCTCAAGAAGTAGGTGTTATCAAAGGGCTTCTCTGGAAGAGGAGAAGGCAAGAGGACACGTGAACAGCTGAAGCCGCCTTATACAGAATCAGATCCTGGGTCCACCCAGGCCAGCATTGGTCTACTCAGACTGGCAGCCGCTCTCCAGGGTCCTGGACAGAGGCCTTTCGCATCACCTCCTGCCTCGTCCTTTCAGCTGGAGATGCTGCTGGGGATTGAACCTGCACACAAAGCAGATACTCTGCCACTGAGCCACACTTTCATTACAAGGTCATTGTAAAGTGTGCTTAAAATAATCTTTCAATGCACAGAGAAATAATCAAATTTTATATAAAAAAACAAGAGATTGGATTTATACCCCGCCCTTCACTTGGAGTCTCAGAGCGGCTGACAAACTCCTTTCCCTTCCCCTCCCCACAACAGACACCCTGTGAGGTAGGCGGGGCTGAGAGAGCTCTTTCCAGAACTGCCCTTTCAAGGACAGCTCTGACAGAACTATGGCTTGCCCAAGGTCATCCAGCAGCTGCAAGTGGAGGAGTGGGGGAATCAAACCCGGTTCTCCCAGATTAGAGTCCGCGCACTTAACCACGACACCAAACTGGCTCTCAAAAACCATCCCAATCTCAAACCAGCTGTGAAATCCTTGGATGTCTTCCATGTTGGAGGAAGGAGGTGAATATCTCAGCTGAACTGCCTTGTATTTCAGAAGACCCACCTGAGCACGGTGGATGGCAGATGAAAAGACTAATTGTCAAGGTCCCGCGTTTTGCGGAGTCTCCGACTGGAAGATACAGACTCCAGCCTCAGGAGTATTCTATACCCACAGCTCCATTGTGTACACACACACACACACACACACACACAGAGACACACACAAATAATTTATAGTCCACTCTTCTCATCTGGACTCAGGGTGGATGACAGAGAATGAGCCAATACAATCGACCAGCGGGGGGGGGGGAATTCAATAAGCGATGCA